CGTACATGTGACGAGGTGAATCGATATATGCCCAGTTCCTATATTCAACGAACGGCTGTTAGTTACATAAATTCGTAACTTTCATAACGACTTGTAGATTAAAAGAACGCTAGTAACGCACTTTCCGTATGCAACAGCTCGTAAGGAAAACGTCTCGTTTTGTTAATATAGGAACTGGGCGTACACGCCTTTTATCTACAAGTCGTTATGAAAGTTACGAAGCTATTTAATTATCAGCCGTTCCTTGATCCTAAATTCAACCGGGCAAAACTGTTTGGTAATAGTAGATAAAGAGATCTAACTACAGAAGGGAAATACTTGTCTGGGAATCCAATACATGAACTCCGGCACCATTCCATCAAAACCTTTATAAAACAGATACTTAAAGATCCAGTCAAGTGGATAAATTGTGTCATGAAGTTCAAAAAAATTTTGTGTAAGATGTAAGATGTAAACGTAAAAAGAACCTATGTCACTTAACGTAATGCTTTTACATACATAACCTTTCTCCAGCCTCAGTTGGGGATTTCTTAGCCGGCGTGAGCGCTTTAGTTTAAGCTTTGTTTGCATTCAGGATGAAAGTTGATATCACTCAGCAGCTAAGCGTCTTATCCCGCGTCTTTAGAAATCTGATTACACGCGTCGCATCTCATGGCTTATTCATGAATACAGAAACTTAGTTTACGTGTTACGCGTGTTACGAAAATTAAATGTCTGCAGCGTGCTTTTTGAGTTCTTACATCTCGCTTACAAGAAATAGTTGCTTGCGTAACTAGGGCTATGTGTATATATGTATGTTTGTAAGTTATAAGTTTTGCGGTATTTCCAAGTTTATATACCATATACGTAAATAAACCTAGTGAGGTACGACTCTACGCAGATCCGGTACTAAGCTGAATAATGTGTAGTATTCTAGTGCTCATTATCATCTGCGAGGATCTGGTATGATTTTTAGGTTAATAGCTTTTTGGCATTGCGTGAATGGACAGACTTTTCCGAGAAAGTAATACAGCTTCACAGAAGTCTGATCCAAGGTGTGATTATTTGCACTTTGCGTTTTAATGTCACAAGAAAGACAGACGGGGTCTATAACATCATAGGTAACAACGTTTATGCAAACTGATGTACGATGTACATGTCCATGGTCGACGGCCATCACGTAATATCAGGTGAACCATCCGTTCTTTACGTTCTGAACGGTGGAAATAAATTTCGAATAGAGAAAGCTCTTGGAACAGATCGATATACATTGTTTTATTAGATAGATAAACTATCTCCAAGGTATAAAATCGGTAGGGACAGCGTTACCGATCGCAGTAAAACTTATAAAATTTATTCAATAATAGACGTTGCCTAACAGTTTTATTGAATTACTCAATAAGCTTATGCGGCGGCTGATTGAAGATCCTCTACGGAGGAGGTCGCGTCCGTCGGCCGAGTAGCATCAGTCTTCCTCGAGACGCGTGATCAATCACTGGCTACGCAGTCTCCGTAGCTACATAATGTATGTGAGCGGTGCCTCGCCGGAAAAGTTCTATTTACCTGTCGACATGGCTCCCGGCTTATTTATTATGTAGGTCTATCCATCGTGAACGGAGATGAGCCATGTTCGCCCAGAGGACTGCAGAATATACTATCATACTAGTTGTCCACCGCTTTTTATTACGTTCACTACTATCTTTTATGTAAATTCATAAATAATTTCATAAAAGTTATATTTTTACGTGAAAAGTTGTCAAGCGAGCAGGCGGTTCACCTATTTTTGCGTTGACGACCTTTTTGGGCCCCTGTTACCTCACTCGGAATCGAGCTCACGTGTTCGATTCGTGTGCAGAAGCTTTAACCACTAAGCTAAACGGCTAACTGCCACACCGATGAAAATCTCAACGTGTTTTATCTGCTTGGCTTTTTCGCATTTCAAGCAATGCTTGGCGCATCTGTTGTGGTTTCCGTTTGGTATAGATATAATTTTTGAGATATATTAAGCTGAAAGCGGGAGTAGTTAGCGGGTAAATGGTACATTAATCCATGACTAGCTACTGTTTATAACTACATTTTTAACTTTCTTTTGGATTTGAATTTGCTGAGTTAGGGCATAAAAAGAGGCCCTATAATTGAAATAATTTCCGGCTTCCGTCATTTCATACGAATATAAGGTAAGATTTGTTGATGAATATTCTACGCAAGTTGAAATATTCTTTTGCTGTGCTATTTCATTTACGGCTACATCAATAGGCTCATCAAAATCAAAATCAAAAAATCAAAATCCTTTATTCAATAAAGAAGCATTACACTTTCTTATTGATTGTCAAAACGCTACCACCGGTTCTACTACCATCAGTTGCGGTTTAGCTAGTATACCTGTAAAAGATAGTAGACAAGGCCTAGACGTTTGTTGGTAAAGGAAACAATCACAAACAAAGCCCAATAAAAGAAAAGCCTACCGGAAATGAAGTTTCTTCAGTTCTCACAAACTCTTTACATAATAAAAAAATAAAGACTTCGCAAGCAATAATTATAAACACAGTCCCCTTAAACCTCTACGGCTTTTGACTCGTTTATTTTTTTTTCATTTCAAACCGCGAATAAATATTTAATTTACTTGCCGAATACACACACTCGCCGTTTGATGAGAGAGAAAGGTGAAAGCCGCTAAACGATTTTGCGCTGTAAAGAAATCGACGTCTACGTTTATATTTTCCTTTCATTTTTCTTTGAAGATCAATTTCATCGTTAGGGACGTTTCGAAAGACGTGATCAAAAAGGGAGCAATTAAAATGCGAATTTTAAAGTGTATTTTCGCGGGGGAAGTGATTTCGCTTGTGGAAAAACAGCCCCCCTTCTCCCAGGTGCACCCCTTGTTCTGCAAGGTTGATATTAAGCGGAGTGGAACGGGATGAACGATATCTAACATGGATATGCCAAGCCTGTACATTATAATTTTAAAGAAGACGGAAGAAATTGGAAGTTAGCAAAAGGATTTCTTTAAAAATTGTGAAGTAAAATATTCGGGGCACATAATCTAACGCAATTATACGAAATAGCTTTTACTATCCGGTCTAAATGCGGTTGCTGGAATGTCTAAGAACAGAAGTATTTTCAGAGGAGAAATATGTATTCAAGGCTTACTAGAGATAGTCACAAGAAAGTGTTATGTCATCGTTCGTTACAAGTTACTCACCGCTTTAAAGTTGGATCTTGGACCTTGGATTGTCTCGATTTTGGTACAAATTTTATTGTATGTTCCAAGTATTCTAAAAATTCAAACTCTAATTAAATTTAATTAGTAAATCGTTAAAATATTGATTTGATGTTATATGAACACAAAAAAAGTAATAATGTAGGTTCTGTCTCTGATAATATTATTATGTTGGTTGGAGAATTATTTCGTTTATGGTCTATAGTGGTTGGTCAATATCATGATTGAATAAAAAATCATAAAATTCGAAATAACGTAATTTTCCGTATAAGTAGCGAAAAACTGACAGACTGCTCGTTCAAATAGTATATAGTTTTTGTTTCATGGCGCATGTATAAAAGCGGAAAGTGGACAACAGAATTTGAGAATATACAAAGAAAGAACAGTAAAATTATCACAAATTAAAATCAAATTGTAACAGATCATCCACTATCATCCACTTGAGGAAATGATTATTTTCTCCATATTTTAAGTTAAAGAAACGTTGACTGCAATGTCTCTATAGTTTGCTTTGTTGCTATGTATTAAAGAAATTTTATTTGCCATATCCACATTAAACTGTGGTCGTGTTCCTTCGTAATGCGGCTAGAATGACAGTTTGATTCACTTAGGTAGTGTTACACGGTATAAACGTGCCATCAAACATCGAGACTGAGCGAGGGTTCTTTTGTAAAAGGAGTGGATTTTTTTTGGATTGCGGGAATGTGCCGGAGAGCTTTGAACGTAGTATTTCTCAACGTTTCTAAGTGAATTGGAGTAAAGTTAAACTATTAGGAGACCTTATTGATTTTCTGACATTATTAATAATTAATGTGCTAACGTCAGAACACCGAAGCACTGTCTCGAGGTAGTGAGAATTCCCTGATTACTAGCAATAATTTTTTTTTGTGTATCTAAAAGCTGGAAATGATACTCAAGTGCATGAAGGGAACATTTCATACTGCAATTCAAGGGTGGCGATAGTACTTAAAATAATAAATGAAAGTTTAAGATCCATATTTGAGAAATCATATTAGTACTGAACACAAACTGCAGCTTTCATATAAAAAAAAATTATGAGTACCTGAGATTGAATTTGAGTACATGCTTAGCTTCTTCATGTAATATGCAGTAGCTAATCACAACATGGGCTAGCTGCAGAAAGTCATTCAATTATAGAAAAACGGTGTAACGACTATATCTTTATTACTAAACTTTCCAGTTTGAAATAACAAAAAATGAAATCCGTACAATCAGACGAGTGTCACCCTATTATATATGAACTATCCGGTTGTCTAATTAACGGAATCTAATTCACTTTCTCCCTCATACAAGCGCCAGTAACGTTTATTCCTGTCGCACGCGTACGAATAGACTTTGACCTCACGCTCCCGCGACCTCGCGACAAGCAGACGGCGGTACGCCGCGATGCAGGCATTATCAATCATCAATCATCATATCATCGCAATATCTCCTTGCACAGCCAATTTTAAGTTACGCCTTTTTAACTGCGCTTCATATTGTTCCCGTACTGGGAACTTGGTGCGGGCTTAAATTAAGTACCAGCTTATTGCGGCGGTTAGTTGCGGGCAACAGTGAGAGTTGCAGAGCTGGACTGCTGTTCTTCGCTACTACAAATTATCCTGCAACAAGACCTGGGACGTGTTGCACGCTAACAAACAAAGCGAGGAGAGTGCGGTGTTTGTGCGGACGGTTGACCGGATCGGATTTTTGAACCTACGACCCTGATTATAAAATCAATTAATGTTTACGTTATTATTCTTTTAATTACCTTAAAACGTGACAACGGTTTCTGTAGAATATGAGCGACAACGAAATCCTGACCGCGGCTAAGGCTAAGGCGCAGATATTGCTCACCACTAAAGTTCGAACTACCCAACAGTTGAACCATGGTCAGCATGAATGCATTCCGCAGTGTGTGTATCGCTCCGCTATAAGTTCGGCCGCAATATTGGCACGGGCGGCCGAGCCGCGTCGGGCGGCGTCGCGCGGTTTCGCAATTTCGCCCCAACAGTCCGCACTGTCCGCAGGCGACGTGCGACCAGGCACTTATTACGTATGCTAATGGCAATTTCGAAGCTATCCTTCTGTCATTTATCTTTGAAATTCATACTCAACTTAGGGTAAGGTTGATTAGCGTTTATTGCTATGTTTTAAAGATGTTGTATTTTGACTGGTTTTTTTTTATTAGAAAAGACGGTAAACGAGCAGAACGTTCAGACGGTTATTTTTACGTTAATACTTCTTGAATTTCTGTGTACTTCATTTATGGAGTGTAAACGTTAAAACGACGATCCGACCGAGATTCGAGAAAGAGCAAAAGCCGCTGTCGGGGTTTATCACAATTAATAAGATTACAATAAGTTATTCTGCAGTTCATGTGTGCAGCGTATCTTGTTTGCAAGTGAAGTTTTTTGGAGAAGGTAATTGTATGGTGGCTATTAAGTCAAATATGTTAATGTTACTTATACTTTTAGACACGTAGCTATCCGTGTCTATCTTTTGCCAGTTGTCTTCTTCGACCTGATATGGACAATCCTTGCTGTCTGAGTCCTCTGTTTTCATGTGCTCATTTAACAAGTTATTATTCATACAACGTTTTGTTTAGGCGAGACCTGAATATACCGCATAGAACGTCTAGTGAAATAACTAGAATAAAAGAATAATTTGAAGAAAACTAATCGACATAGTATGTCCTCGCACCGAAATTATATTATATACGAATGATAACTTCATTTAGTTTGTATATTTACCTTTTTGACCGTAGGCTAAAGTGTAACTCCAAAGGAACGGATACACAATTGATAGAACGTACGTAATTAACACTAGTCGGCCTGGTTTGTCCGCAGGCGTGGATCGCTGAAATCCGTCAGCCGTAAAATCCTTTGGCTTAAAGCGTTTAAAGCGCTTAAGCATCGCCTCATCACGCCCGGCGGTCGCATCGCTTTTATCTGTTGCGCTTTTTTCCAATGCGTCCCGAAATTAAATTTCTATTCAACCCTTTCGGGTAACTCGCGCGGAAATGAAATTAGAATTCGATTATTAACGTGACAAGTTGTTTTGCGCCCGTTTGAACCTTTCCCTAAAAATATTTGGGTCGCAATTAATTACGTTAGCGCTTCGAGATAAGCGAAATGAAATAGAATTACTTACTTCGCGGTTATTAATGCTTATTACTTTTAAAACGAAAACGGAAATGATTTAATTGACGTATTACTTAAGATAGTTTTCAAAAATTTTAACGGTCTCGGTTTGTACCAACCAGTGTTTTAAGGAGACGTGGTGTTATTTTGCGGATTAAGGCTTAATTTAAGACTTAATCTTTAATCTACGAAGAAAATAAGTTATGGTGCGCTTCTTTGTCTCGAACACTAACAGCTCGGAAACGCTTACCGAAACACTTTAGTGACTTACTTAAAATTTCTTAGCCAAATTCACTAAGTGCCTGTAACGCATCAACTATAAGTTGTTGCGGAGTCTTGAATTTCTTAACTCGTTGTAATTACTTAATGTGGAAGAAGTTTGCGGAGTACTCTCGTGTGAGTCTGCAACGCGCTGAGAGCTCAAGGAGTTTATATACTTAGACGAGGCCAATTAATATGATAAATAAGACGCGAGTTACTCGCAGCTATAAATATGCATTGGAACAGGTTTATACACATACAGCACACGTAAGGGTAGAATATGTAATCATAAGAATAATTAAACGAGACTTAAGAGCATTTCATCTAAAAATATATCCACTATCTTTATGTTAGTTAGTAATTATTCCTATGATTAATTTTTTTAAAACTATAATTTCTATTCGATTCTTTGCTATCAGGTACAGCAAGGATTCATCCAGATAATTTCTAAAAATATTTGTAACATTCCAGTCCTTTGTTTATTATTCAAAAGAGGAGATTAGTAGCAGTTTTGTTAAAGATAAAAGCGCAACCCGTGTTTTCTGAAATTAAGCTAAATTTTGTAGAAATCAGTTTGGCATTAGTATTCTCATGATATCTTTAAATATACAATTATTCTGTACATGTTTACCTTTGCTCCTCTTTAAATTTATCGTTATTTATCAAAGTCAAAGTCAAAGTATATTTATTCAATATAGGCCTAACTTAAGCTCTTATTGAACGTCAACAAAAAATCTACCACCGGTTCACTAAACTAGACCTGCACAGAGAAGAACCGGCAAGAAACTCTGCGGTCTTGTTCTTTTTGTTATATATTTGTTTTTTGATGCAATTATACACACTTATTTAGGTATAAAATCAGCAGCAGCCAGGGGTCTTGCGAGTGCAGAGCAAGAGTCATTTCCAAACATCCTTGTCCTCAATGTATTCTTGGATATTATAGTAGGCCCCTGTCATTAAAGTAGCTTTTACAAATTGTTTGAAATTGTTTATACTTAGTTGTTTGTGGATGTCACCTATTTTATTATAAATTTTTAATTTGATTTAACTGCAAGCTGACCAATACAGACCAATTTTAATAGATACCTGATTAATCTTAGAAACCGAGCAGTGTATATTTTTTTAAGTATTTTAACGCGAGAAGATTTACAAAAGTATTAATTGAATATTATTGAGAAAGTATTGATATTAATAACAATGAGAAAGAAGAGAAAAGTATTAATGAGAAAGAAGTGATTTCTTTCTATGTGAGAGGGTGATAAGGGAGCTGGCTGTTCACCTGATGTTAAGTTATATCCACCTCCCATGGACATGTGCCCGTAGGGTTGCAGATCAGTTGCCACCTTTGAAAATAGTGGGCTCCGGTTACCAATCATCAGACGAAACTCAGAAGTATAACACTTACACGTCACGCCGGTCTTCTGTGAAGTCGTGGTATTTACTCTAACGGACTTACCACAGCTATTCAATGTTTTCCTCCACTTCCAATCACCACAATTATTTGCCACATAGGTAAACAGCTTATATGTTTTAATGAATTATAAAATATTCCATTACTAACATACTTAGATTCTAGTGATAATGATTACTTTGTAGAAGGGAGAAAGTAGAAGACGTGGCAAAAACAGTGTAACTAGATCCTGAAAGAAAGGTATTTACATTTCTCCAAACTTAGTACTGTGTATTTGATACCGATTAATAATAGTTAAAATATAAATGTAGATGACGCCCGAAAACTAAGTAGAGACGCAAAAGTAAACATTTTGGACACTTTACTTAAGAAGCCTGGAAATGTTAAAGGGAGAAGATTCCCGCCAAGCGGACACGACATCCATCCAAGCGAATATACGGATTGTCACGGTATTTGAATAGAGTTAACCCTCTTCCGGCGCGTGATGGAACGATGATTGATTTCTGTTTGCACTGAGGGCGGGTTGCAATTTAATATCTCATTGTTAATCGCGAAGCATCCGAATGTTGATTTAGACGACGCAGTTTGAGTTACGGCCCCGCTGTTAATTATTGTAACGCCGCCGTGTTTGGCGAATTCCAATTGTGTACCCGAGCTATGCGATTTCAATTAAACTTTGACGCCCACTGATATAAGATCGATATATGGAAAATAAAGCTGGAATCAGGCTTAGAATGGATTTGATCATCTATAAAAAATAGTTTTTAAAACCCACGTATCAAGCAGATTTTATTTTTACTTTTAATTTCTAGTCGAGTTTTATACTTTTACAAAGTAATAATTGTATGAAATGTTTTCTCGTTCACCGTTCAATTTTATAATTATTATTCAGCAAGTATCATAATATAACTGATTATCATTTCAGAGCAATTTTTAAATGCTTTCGAATTAAAAAGTTAATAAGTCTATTTTAGGAGATATATTTCCCCGAATTAATTACCTGACTTTAATTAACGTTGATTGTGTAACGGTTTCATCACAAGTTGAGGCCGTAAAGTGAAATTAATTGTAACGAATATTAATGAGGAATTGTCAATGAAAAATATTCTCGGAGTAAATTGTTATGCAATGAACAGTTTTGTTGTACGATATTGAAATGATATTTTATATAGACATTTCTTTTTAGTCCAATACATTTATATATCCTGATATGAACCTGATATGAATGTATTGATAGTTGAAGTCATTGACCTCTTTCCATTTTTGTTGTTTGTTTCTTCTGCTGACACTGATAGAAGAGTTTTTACTGCTATTAAAGAAAAAAAAGTAAAACAACTGCCTGAATATATACATAACTTCTCTGTACATAGGATATTAAGGCATAAACGACTACGAGACCTCACTGCTATTAACATAACGAGAAATGTTATAGTTAAACTCAAAAGAAAGCTCTTACGGGTAAATATTCATAAGCAATAAATAGCTTTTGAGCACAAGTTTTCCAAATATCAAAAAATCTACACAGACAGTGATTACTTAAAACTAACCAGTATTAATAATGTACTCTTTGACTCCAATTAAGGAGAATTGCTAACAGATCGGTGATGATAAATTTATACTTTAATTCTTTAGAATCGTTTGAAAAATAAAACCAATACAGATATTTAAGTTGCTTGACAATTTACTATTTTTAAGGTTCAGTACCTCAAAAGGTAAAAAAGGAACCCTTATAAAATCACTCTCTTGTCCGTCTGTCTGTCCGTGTGTCACTACCGATTTTCTCAGAAACGCGTAGAGCTAGCAAGTTAAAATTTATACCACATACTAAGGTGTATAAAGTCAAGGTGTCAACACGATAAAAAGAAATGGGTAAATATAGATATTCGCTTGTTTTATTTTTCAGAATTTTCCCTTCACTTGTGCCGTAAGACCTTGCTTTTCCAAAATTAATAATTGTAGGTCAACCGGAAGTACCATCTAGGTTTTGGGTTGAAAACCTATATGGTAGTTCACATTGACCCAGAAGCACAAAATTTGGCAAAAAGCAAGGTCTTAAAGCACAAATAAAGGAAAAATTCCATAAAATAAAAAAATGAAAATTAAAAGGTGTCCCTATACATACATAGTTGACGCCAATTAAGAGAGTCCTATGAGTTGTATGGGCGCTCATAGAAATTCTATCACATACTATAGAGATAATGGTACGGATAGTGGCGGATTTGTAGTCTTGGCCGCCCTAGGCCCCAG